CCAGCCCAGCTTTCCTGGTCCCACTCTTCCCTTCCCTTTCCATGCAACACATCGTTCTCGATGCCTTCTCTTTCCCCTCTTTGCTTCTTGGACAGGAATGGCCTTGCCCTCATCTTTGAATTTAAAAAAAAACATAATTAAAAAAAAAAAAAGTCTTGCTAAGCTAAGAAGTTTGGATCCAACTCTGGCTCTGCCTTTACTGGACCACTTGGTTTTGTATAATTTCTTTTGCCTGGCCCCCATATTCCTGGGGACGTCTCTACAGACTTCAGACCTGCCTTTCTCCCATCATTCCATGATCCAATTTAGCTACAAAAAGCTGGACTTAGTCACTTCTTTCCTTATACAACCCCAATTGAAAAGTGGTAACAAATTAGAGCATTCTTCCCAGTTGCTGTTAATTTTGAGACCTGTGTCTTTAACTATAACTCTGCCCCTAGATGATACCAAGAATGCATGGTAGTCAGCAAACATATCTAATGAGGAAAACGTTCTATCTTGACTCTGAAGCAGCTGACTCACCAGGCTCACATCATCCTAAATTCCCTCCTCTGTAAGCAGCTAAAAGAAGGTGATGGATTTAGGCAATGATTTTACCTAAGTAAAGTGGGGGAACAGCTTGAAACCATCCTACCTATTGTCTTCTCACAGCTGGTCACTTAGAGAAAGAAACTCTGAGGGAGTAGGGCTTGCTTCTCCTTTCCTCAGCACCCGTTCCCTGCTCTGGCTAGGACCTGCCTATTGCCCCAAGGTTCAGTTAAGTTTCCAGATTATAAAACATGAGAATGGAAATGTTCTTCAAGGTCAAAGTTAAATTGTAGAAGGGAAGACAATCTCCTTAAAGATGAGTTTAAGATAGCAGGTAGTACCCAAACAGACCAAAGTCCCACCACTTAATGTTCTATGCATTTTTGTTCCTCACTGTTTCCCCCAAAACATTTGATTTTTTGCTATTTGCTGAAAAACCCATAGAAACATTTGACTGCTTATGCAGGGGAACTAGAGAAACTGTTGGCATGCAGAGTGCCCTGACATTCACAAAATAAATTGTGACCTAGAGAACAATATTTATTTCCTGTAATCTCTTTCAGTTGTAGTCATCACATGTGTAACATACTAGGTAAACATTTTGCAGACCAAAATTTTGTGTGTTCTTCCTTTTCTTTTTTTGCTTTATGCTGCTTTTGTTTATTTGCTTAAATTTGGTTATATTCTTTTAATTCCTTTAGCTAATTTGCAAGGTGTTTCTTTTCCTGTGTGAAAATGTTGATGATTGGATGTGGAAGGCTAAAGCTGTTTAACCTTCCTGGCTCTAGTAGAAAATGCAGACAGTTTGGTTTTGAAGCATCTTAGGAGTGTGCTGAGCAGCTTTAATTTGCATTTGAAGCTTCTCCAGCATGAAGCAACTTTTCTGCTTGATAAGAGGTGCTTTGAGTGGTCTGTGTTCTGCCGCGGCTGGCAGGATGAATTCCAGTGGTTGCTGCACATTTCATGCATGACCGCAACAAAAAAGGCCATTCCAATTGTGCAGTGTTTGGAATAAATGTGTATGGTAAAACTGCAAAGCAGGGATTCATAAAGAATGTCAATATTTATGGATAAGTAATGCATTTTTAATGGGGGAGTTCTCCACTCTTTAATCACTGTTACACTTAAATTTGATGGAAAGTCTTTATTTGATAAGTACTGTGTTTATTTCTCCCTTTACAATGTTCTCTTGTTTTGCTATCAGCTTACAGACATTTCATTTTATTGTGTGACTTAATTCTACCTTGCTCAGTAATCATATTCCCTTCCCTTAGGCCTCCAAATCTTCCCCCTAAGCCCCAGAAACACAGGAAGCCCAGACCCCAATCACAGTATAGTGCTAAGTTGTTTAATGGTGATTTGGAGTCATTCATCAAGGTACTGGCACCAGCCACGCGGTTGGCTGATCTCAACACTTCTTACAATAATGGTCACCGCCTCGCGTGAGCTGAGGCAGATCATTATGTTTAAGTCTGTCCTGGGGCTCTTTTCTTTCCCGGTTGATCAATATAATACTTCCTGAAGTCAGAGGGGAAGGGAGGGATTCATTTCTCACATCAGCCTTCCTACAATTTTGTTAATCTAGTAGGGATAGTATTGGCAGCCTGGTTTTATTAGGAAACTTAGCATCACATAGAGGATAGAATGTAGTGGTGCATCCCACAACTTAGCACAATTTCCTGCTTGCCATTTTTGTTACATTCAGTATTCAAAGTCTGTGGAGAAGCAGTATTACCCTGGGTTTGATATCCAGTTGTTGATTTCCTGTGACTTTAGGAATTTATTATATTGTGTGAAATTGTGATCACCACTATTCTGGATCTTGTATCTTTGCTGTATTTACTATCTTCTTCTTTCTCATACTTTTATTTCTAATAATGCTTCTAGCCGAGGCCGAAGGAACTCTCACACGAGACATCAGGTATAGTTCTGGTGACAAGAGAACCATTTCTGCCTCGCTCTCGGGTTGCATTCATGCCTGGCTCAAAATTAGTTCTTTCAAAGACCTGGAGGGAGAAGTTTGCATTAAGAAATGAGTGTACAAGTACAGCAGGCAAAAGTGAACCAGAGCACAACTCTGGAGTAATTGCAGTCTTAAATGATGAATTTTTTCATTATTCATTAAGAAGCACTTGGCCATCACAGTCAATTAGTGCCTCTGGACACTAGCTAAAGAGCTAAAGGAAAGAAATCTTAAAAAAAATATGTAGTTATACATTTATAAATGCAGTGAATGAAATTCCTGATTTTGTTAACTGGGTTTGAATGTTACTGGGATTTTTTTTTTCTTCCTGCACAACATAGCTAGCAGCAAATATTTTGAACAACAAATTCTGTGATTCTGTGGCACCATACCAGTTTAACTGTCTTTGAACAGAGTTTTCAGCCACCTTCAGTACAACTATAGGGGAAATTATTGCTGTGCAGGTGGTGCTGTGAGGATGCAAAGACTTTCAGGAAATCATCACATAATGCAAGAGATTAATATCATAAGCAGTTTTTCCTCAAGGATGAAAGTAAGCAAAGAAGCAGAAACTCCCATCGCAAAAAAAACCTGGATCAGAGAAGCATAGAAGAGAATTGGGAGAAATGACACCCCATAATTTTCCCTCGCAGAGAAGAGGGTTATGCTACATGGCAATGTGAATGACAGGGCTTACTTACAAGTGGAGAGTCTGCATAGTTTGTCTTTTGAAATGAAAGAGGAAAAGAAAGCTGGGAGCCTTGTGACAGATTTGCCAGTGTGGGAGCTAACCTAGGAATGCATCCCTGCCCAAAAACCATGTCATTCCTGGTAGGGATGAGTCATTTTGACAGGCTCAAAAGGATTACAGCTAGTGAAATACAGTATCACACCAACTTGCTTTTCGTTAGGTTTGCATCATCAGAAATGCTAATTAGTCCCAAACATACATTCACTGACTGCACACGCCAGATTAAATTCACAGCAGAGGTAGGGTCACTGTTCTTGACATTTCAGCCAACACAGATGGTTACTTCAAATTATTTTCCTGACATTAGATCCAAGATCCAAAGCTGTTAGTTTAGATTATTTTGGGGAATTACTTGACTACAAAGTTGTGCATGGTTCTAAACATATTCTCCAAAACCAGATATGAGAGTTTTTGGGGGGGTTTTTTGTGATTTCTTATTGCAAACGGTATCTTTTCCAAGGCTTTACATTCTTTGCATGAACCAGTGTACTAACAGGAGAGACGGGTGCATGTCGTGCATGTTTTCTAATACTCTGCTTTTTTGGAGAGCCAGGGTGCTCGGTGTTGGTGAAGATGACAGTATTCCTGGTTTTAGCAACTGACCTGTTCCATGGAGGTTTTTTTAATTCAGCTGTTGCTGTATCATGACACAACTCAAACAGAGCGTGCTCATCCAGACATTATTGGTTCTTGGCTAGCCCGTCTTTGCTAGGTTTTAAATTAAAAGACGAACAAGCCACTATTTAAATAGCATAATTAGCAGTACAGTCTTTTGTAAGCACCACTAAAACAACACAGAGCACACAGAAAATCAGGGGTTAGGTTACCTCAGGAAGTGCATTGTTTTATTGCTTCTCTGTGTGTTATTTTTCAAACTTTTTTTAGTAATTGACTTTTCTTCTACTTGGGCTTAATTCATAAACTTCCCATTAGTGTAATTTAGCATGAAAATGAAGGACTAGTTTGTAAAAGGAAATGTGTATTCTGAGTTACAGGGTGCTTTTGAATTCGTGATTTTGCAATACAGACTGGTTTTATATTAAACTTTGAAATGAATTAGTCAATTCTCTGAACACTTAGATGCTTGAAATTCATTTGGAAAACAAAATTATAGTTTCCAAGACAAGAATTTCAAAGGTACCTATTATTTACGAAACAGCGTTATTTCCAGCATAAGCACCAAGTTTTCTAAATAATTTTTAATCATGTGATTTGTGTCTTTAATAGATATTTGATGACTTGTAGTTCTTAATGTTCTTGGGGTAAAACATCCAATTTTTAAAGTGCCAAAACACACAGACAAAGGACTGTGATGGTTCTTTTGGAAAGTCAGCAGTTTAAAAGAAAAAAAGAAGATAGTCATCTTCTCCCCCTACCATTATGAGCATTTTTTCTCCTTTATTAAAACACCTCTACTTAACTGAAGATGTAGCTGTAGACCTGCTGCTGTATCATGTCTGAGACCAGGAGCTTTGATTCGTGAGCTCTGCCAGTTGCAGGTGGGGGAGGTGTAGGGTAGGACCTCCCTTTCCCAATGCCTTGTGCCTACGGAAGAGGCAGCTGAACCATGTGCTCTGCTCAGCTCAAAGTGGCTGCAGTTCACCACCCAGGGTATTGCCAGCTAGTTAGTGCAGCCTGAAACAGTGTGCCAGGCCATCATCTGCTCTGTGTTAGGACATGCAAATCAGCAGAGCTCATAGGAGTGCTCTCAGGTCAGGAGAGACAAACCTGGTACCCCATGCAATGTCATTGAATGGTTCTTCTCCAAGAAATTTTCTGATAGTCCAGCAGGTCCAGAAGAGGCCTTGTCAACTGAGATCAAATTTTTTTACCAAAAACCAAAAAAAAACCCAGCCCGCCTCCTCAAGGAATTAGCTCCTGTGTAATTAGGTCTATGTAGGATTTTCTCCACCAGGAAAAGAAAGGTAAGTTAAATGGATGCAGAGAGATCATCTTTATCATTAATTATTATTCTTAATAATAAACTTTTTAAAAGGCAAGTCACTGCTTTAACTCATTTTGCTTCAAAAACCTAAAACACGTGCATGACCTTAGATGCCACATACAGTGTTAGCCAGATACAGTGGCAGAGGTAGAGAATGAATTCTGAATTTCCTGATTAAATTATTTGAATGAAGAACCATCATCTTTTCTCTTCACCTGTTCCTTTCCCTCCCTCCCTAAATGGGAAGAGAACTCTGATAGAGATTAGATGTTTCCTTATGTGTTTTTTTGCCAATACTATATGTCCATCTGGATTGACCAAGAAAATGCATTTTCTCATTCAGTCCAGAGTAGGGAGGTTTACTCTTTCTGGTCTGCAGTTCCCTCTTTCTGCTCTTATTTTTCCAGGATTCAGGACAAGTCATTCCACTCATCGTGGAAAGCTGTATCAGATTTATCAATTTATATGGTAAGCTTGAAACATGCTATGTCATTTCATTATTGCCCTGACTTCTTTGTGTATCTTTTGCATAACGCATTTACCACCACAGCTTTTTTTTAAAAAAGTAGAGATTAAAAGTGTTTCAAAAACTAGATTAATTTCCCACCACTGTCTCCCATCTTTGCTGCAGGTCTTCAGCATCAGGGAATTTTTAGAGTGTCTGGTTCCCAGGTGGAAGTCAATGATATTAAAAATTCATTTGAGAGAGGTAATTGCATTTTCATTTATTCAAGCACCTTAATATCTAACATCTAAAAATCTTTTAAATTCTAATTACTTTCTTGGCTGTTTAAGCAGTTTGTGTGCACCGTGTGCACTTTGTGTACTGCACCTAAAACTTTGCACCATCTTATGCTTAAAGATGATGTATAATAATGACATGTACATGTTTTTCCCCTGTTATGTTCTAGGAGCATGAGGTTGCTTTTCATTTTGTTTAGGCAAGGCATATGACTCTTGAATCAACTGTCAACTTTAGCCTTTTGTTAATGATAAACTGTGAATAATAGTTTGTCTATATTTTATTTTAAAGATCCTCAGAAAGGAAAGATTATGGTTTTTAATTAGATTCAAGAGACTACTTAATGCAATTTGAGAACCCTGCTACTCGATCTTCTGGAATACAAGTGCTCAACTTTCTGGTCCCTCTGCCAAAGTGGCATCGTGATCAATAACAATACAGGTTGCGAAAGAGTTGTTCCATTTTCAGCCACTGTTTTCATTCCCGAAGGAAACTTCAGCCCCAGAGGACGATACCAGGAAGTGAAAACAGCTTTTTAAACGTGAATGGCTTGCAACGCCTAGCTTGTGATTGCTCTGCTATGGGAGCCACAATCCAGCAATCCCCTAATTGTGTTAAAACAATAGTAGTTAAAATTGCTTTTAAATCTTACATTCTCTTTTCTTGGGTTTTAGAAGCTGTTTTTTTAATTTGCAGGAAAACCTTTTGCAGATCATCTGCTAATGAGAAAACCCTTGAAGCAATAAGTCCTGTGACTAAAAGCATGAAATATGCACAGGTTTTTTTTCCCCAAGATTAGTTACATATCTTGTTAAACCTGATTTTGTCTTTAACAAGATATATGAAGCAGCTGTTTTTACATGCTAAGTGAAGCCACATCCTCCTATTCTCCACCTTTTAAATCTGCCTCCTTGCTAACTGCTTCTCCTAGGAAGTATTAGTCTGGAAGGTAGACACATTTTAAAGTGTTTCAAAATAAAGATTAAATCTTTAAAATTACCCATAGTTTGGTCACGGCCTTTGGGGTTTCAAGTCCCATACAGTATTTTCACAAAATGGTTACACATATTCCTGAAGGGTTTAGTTTTTCAGAATGAAGACAGATTTCCAATTCAAAGAGTTATCTGACTAGATTTGCTTTATGTAAGCTCCCATAGTCTGAGAAACCCTATTCAATTAAGAACATTTGGCTTTTTTATTTCACTAACTGTAAATCATAACATGTCCATAAATACCCAGTTGGAAGTTCAGGACCTAAGAGATCAATAGGTTATGTAATTTAAAGGAAGCTTTATTTAGGCTTCTGTTTTTAGTTTAATCATAGCCTAGGATTTCTAAATCAGTGTTTATTATCTTACTTGAATGCTTGCATTGCCACCTCCCACACACTAAAAACAAAAAACCTCCAAAATGTCACTCACTTATAAAAATATTGCACGCAAGAATGCTCCTGCATGTGTGTTTCATTCACTTTATTTACTTTTTAAGGTGAAAATCCTTTGGCAGATGACCAAAGTAACCATGACATTAACTCAGTTGCTGGAGTACTGAAGCTCTATTTCCGAGGGCTGGAAAATCCTGTCTTTCCTAAGGAAAGATTTAATGATCTTATTTCTTGTATCAGTAAGTAGAAATCTCTATTTCTTTCTCAATAGAATTTTACTTTTCATATATACAGTAGTGGCCTGAAAAAAGAGCTACTTCACAGATTTTTCTGAGACAATTTGTTTGCCATCTGTAACAGTCTGGGTCAGTTATTAGTCATACTTGCAGCTGTGGTTGTTCCCTTTTTCCAATGGGAGTAATGTACAGTACAACTCTTTGTTTAATAGGACAGGAAGAATATCTTTTGATATACAGAGATAGATAAATTTAAACACGTTATTATTTTCCTCTGTGCACTGGGGCAGACAGGAGGGTATGAGGTCATGACTGCGCAAACAGAGTACATTACTTTCCACGAAGGTTTTCATGCCCCAGAGCTTGGGGTCAGTGCTGGTGGATAAGTAACCAACTGCTCGATGTTGTGTGGTTCTAGACCTTTGCTATGCTCAGCTTAAAACCTCCTGCAGAAGGTTTTTCCTGCAGGAAAACCTTTCAGTGCAGGAATGGAGGGGAGCAGCTGAGTGTTGTCTGCAGAAGAGCCCAGTCTGCCTTCCAACACACAAGCATGACCAGGCTGTAATGGGATACCTTGGAGGAACACTGCATGGGTCTGTGCACTGCTGGTGTTTTTAGCTGGGCACAGAGAGGTTGTAATAATTTAGGAAGTTCTCAGTGGATGAGTGAATTGCTCTGGCATGCACAAAACAGCTTCCAGTTCACAGATCCCTGCAGATGTTGAGGAGGTGTGAGGCCAAGCCAACCATCAGTAGACTTACTGTTCCCTGTGCAGATGGGAGAGGTTCACCAACCTCTCAGAGCATCACTGTCTGAGAGGGATCCAGTTCAGTTATCCCCCTAGAAGTTGTCAGAGGTGCTAGCTTTGTGGAAGAATTTCCTCCTTTCAGCCCTTCCTTTGTAACTTGCCTGCTTCAGCCAAGTGGAGAAAGGGGCAGTTTCACAGGTAATGAGGGCCAGTCCTTTGGGATATTAATTAGGGCAGACTCTCTCCAGTGTTATTTTGGCAAAGGGGTCTCAGCCCAGCAGTCAGGACGACAGATAGATGTGTGCACAGTCCTGGGCCTGCCATCAGATGGGGTTTTCTGCTCCCTGCTGGGGGAACCCAGCGTGTGTGGTTTCCTTCCCACATACGGAGGACTGTAGTAATTCAGCCTGGAGGTCACAAATACGTGGATCACTGTGACCAGGTCTGTGTCCAGTATTTTGTGTTTTGTTTTTTTGCGGGGATTTCTGCAGCTGTTGCTGTTTACAGACTTGGTGGTACTGAGGAGTCCTGAAGGACCTCAAAACCGCAGTTTAACAGTCTAATCCCTGATGCTGAGGAGGGCATTGTCTCTTTAGGAAGCATGTTCTTGGTTCTGTCTGAGATCAGCTTTAGCTAACTGCGGTACCACAGCCCAGAAAATGTCTACCAGTCATAGAAATTGGATCTAAAAAGAGATCATTTTGACTGAGTGATTTTCTGCGTGACAGGGATGATGGAACTTTACCTAATAATCCTGCACTGATTTCCATAACTTCTGGCTGTCTACTGGAATATTTATTTATTTAATAGCTTTATTTGACAGAAAACCTACCACATTCTTGGATGAGCTGTTCAAATGATTAATCACTTTCATCATTAAATATTTGTACCAGATTTCCTTTTCAAAATTTCTGCTGTCAGATTCTGCCTATTGGATCTCTTTATGACTTTATTATTTTGACTTAGCATTAAGAAAAACAGAAATAGTTGTTCTTGTATGTGGAGATGGCATTGCACTCTGTTGTGTTGAAGAGTTTTAAATAGAATTGTAAAATACCGAGAACGAGTATTTGGTTTACAGAGATTATACAAATGAGCGCTTAGGAGAGGCAAAAATATTTGCCCAAAACAGCCTTTTAAATGTCTTCCTATAAGAGAAACCTGGATTATTTCAAAGAGTTGCCGTTCGCCATTGAAGCTTCTGAAGGCAGGATGGGGTATTTGGAAAGAGGGGCAGAAGTTCAATGGACTGAATATGTGTACATGACACCTCTGCAGGTGGGAGAGATTCACCAACCTCTCAGAGCATCACTGTCTGAGAGGGATCCAGTTCAGTTATTCCAAAATGGTCTTCTGTTATTAACAACTTCAAGGAAAATAGCAATAAATACTCAGTCCCTAGCATTAGGCCTTGATTGCCTTAGAAGATGTACAACTATTGCATGTTGAAGGTAGGCAGCGGATTATTTTCTTTCAAAAGAGTTGACAACCTTTTTTTTTAAGTAATAGTATCATCAAGCAGAGCTGAAATCAGTAACAACTAATAGCCTGCAGGAAAGTCACTGCTCTTCCAAGCCACATTTTTAAATGGGACGGTTATTGGGAAAGATGTTTTGCCATCTGATCCTGGTTTAGACTGGCTGTTCTCTGAGGCTGTCATAAATCTGGATTGTCATCTCTACAACAGCTTGACAAAATGAGGTGTAATAATTGAGTGGTTCTGATAGGTTTTACTTCTGCTATTGCTGTTATAGAAGAAAGCAGAGGATTTTCTTCCTAATAATGTGTTGTAAGAGTCCCAGATCTGTTTCTGGCAGGTGTTGGAGGAAGCCAAGGGGAGAATTATTTTGTTGTTTGTTTTGCCTTCCACAAGGTTATCTTTTGGGACACTCTGAAATGATGTGTCAATGCCTTCCTTCAGCAGAGGGAGGAGAGGTAAGTTTCATACATGGCAGGACAAAAGGGGTTTTCTCTTTGAGCACAATGGAGTGGGTTTAGTTTGTGTTGTCGGAGTGAGGGTGTTGAATGTGATGTGAGTAGAGAGAGCAACTTCCTTGTGCCTTGCACCCACAGCCAGCCTCAGAACCACACACTGGGAACGGTATGTCTGCGTCTTCTGATCATCGGAGAAGCCTGAGGTGGATTGTTTTTACAGCTGTGTACCTAGACTCTGCACTTCATTAAGTGGCCCACTACTTCCAGGGAATAAGATGTTGGGTTATTTTAAAAAGCAACAAACATTTCAGAATATACTACCTGTCACAGCTTAGCCTAAATACTACCTTTGTGGTTCGTACTATCCAAAAGTGTCTCAAAGACCCTTTCTATTGCCATCTTTTAGTCTTAATGCTTTGTGTACCTTGCAGTAAGGAATACGCTCTAGGCAAGATTTTTCTCCCACTTCAGATTTTGAACCTGTCATAGTTATATTAAGATTTTTTTCTGTGCTCATGGAGCTTCACATAATAAGTATGTTGTCTTCATGTTAACAGGAGCAGGGCCAGACTCCCTTTCCTCTGTGAGAACACATTACAGTAACTTCTTTAGATCACTGTTGATACATTAAGTCCAGAAAGCTCTCAAATTTTTAATTAAGAAGGTTTAAATACTCTCAATTCATATTGCATTCACTATCTGATAAATGGTAAGGAAAAAATAAATATTGAGTTTGTTTTCAAATAGTTTTTTTCAAGATAAATGTCAGTGTGGTTTTTTTAATCCTTGCCAGAAATTGTTGTAAAAAGTGGGAGGGAGAAAGCAAATTCATAAAATTAACGTTCACGTAAAACTGCAAAAGGGCAGAATGTCACACATTTTATATGGAAATGTAATGTTGCCAGTGAAAAAACCCTTGAAACTGAAGTACTTATTTATGGATGTCAAGCATAATTGAGGCTACAGCTGCAAAATGAACCCTTCCTCAGTACGGCCACTGAGGAATTCCTTTGCATTTATGCATGTATTTCAAAATGAAATAGAGCATTGTGATTTAATGCTTTCCCTTTTGCAAATACAGTGGAACAGTGCAAATTACTGTGACTTTTAGGGCAATTTGTATTAATTCGACTCATGAGAACAATGTTAATCTGTTTGGGTTTAGGAACTGGTTTAGATAAAATTTGGGCCAAATTATGACTTCTGCACAATCATGAAAGGTGGGACAGAATGTAAAGAATCCTTGTGATCATGGGCCATAATTCTGTATTCTCAGCAAAACGAGTGGCAACGAGCAGCACTCAGCAATCCAGAGGGTAAAATAAGGTGCAAGGGAAGAGAGCAGAGTCGCACTGTACTGCTTTTCTGCCCCTTTGTAGAAACAGGTTGGGCCAAACACAAGCGAAATATTTGTAACAGGAATTGCTTGTAGGCAGAGGGTGCTGGAGCTGTGTGGAGGGCTGGGCCATAATTCACCTTGACTGCTAGGGAGCTGCAGTTCCTCTCCTGGTGTGAGTTCTTATACATGTGTATCACTTACGTAGCTGTGCAGTGCAGCATTAGACACATCCTAGCTACCCAGACAGCTTAGCTTCTGCTCAGGTCATTATAATTCTTTGTTTCCTCTCCCTTGCCTTAAATTTTATATACTAAGATGCTGGGATGAATTAAAACTTACATCTTTTTTCCTTCTGATTTTCATAATTTTAATCCCTTGCTGCCAGCAGTGTCCATTTGCCTAAAGGCATAAATGTTATCGAAGGAAATTATTTTTTTTGTTTTTCCAGACTATTGCACATTACTTAAAAAGTGGAAAACTATATTGTGAATTGTCAGCTCTTCCTGAAAAAGTTTCAACAAAATGACAGCAACTGTTTCCTTCCCTAACTGACAGTGGATACCGTTGTGTTTGTCCTCCACTAATGTGTTCTTGAATAGATCTGAAAGAGCTGTAGAGTGGCACTGCTGAGTTAGTATATACATATCTTTGAGTTGGGTTGGACCCATCTACCAAAGTGGAAAGAAGCACAAATTGTTAACTTGAGCACTAATCCATATTCATGTAGTTTACTTGTCAGCTGCAAATTTACCATAAAAATTACACCTACAAGTGTAACTCAATCCCATTTGACATTCAGCGAGTGTGTAAAATATGCGCTAGGCATTCACTCTGTTACCAGTAGGCACCACTCCAAGTGGAAGTAGCGAGTGACCCCTACACACAGATACCACATTGGATTTTATCCTTCAAAACAGTCATCCTAAAGGAGAGAGAGAGAGAGAGAGCTTACATTATCATTGTTTGTATTCTTCTTCCTCC